TGCTGCATAGCGATAGCGGCTTTTGCTAACTCTGATTCTCGAACGCGAGTATCGCTTTCCGATGTGTCGTCTGATCTCTTGTGTAACCGTCGGTATGGCATATCGGTCGCAAGGACTTTAATTGAAGTTCCGTACTATTTTCTGTACCCTTACTTCATGTAGCATTTGGTGTAGGTCTGATCCAATGTCGATTCTTCCATGATATGATCCAGGGTTGATTTGGTTTCACAGGCACTGCTTGTGGCTCTTGAGCCATCACATTGTAAATCCCGCTCGTTCGTTCACCAGAGTGGCAGTCGCATGTCGAATTCGAAACTGCAACCACTTCTATTTCTCTTTCATTAAAAATCGCAATTTTTGTGACAATATGACCTTTCAGACGATATGCGACATAATGTGCTAACAGTTCTTAAATGAAATAAATATTGACAGTGGCCTAAACCTTTCTATCTGAAAGGTCGTTTTATCCTTGCTCATACTTTCGCAAGTGAATAAGCCAAACTTGCTTCTGTTTCATCTCTCAGTAGCAAGTGCTGTTTCAGCCATATCACACTTCCCATTACCACGTGATATCATTTTCTAGGTCATATTTGCAATAGGCAAAGTAATACTTTAATTCTAGTGTAAATTATTAGTGCCTGGAGTATGACATCATCTGCCTCTATCTGAAAAGTGTGTCGATGCATCTCTGCACTTTCGCATTAGCATAATTTTTCGACAACAACAGAGGTTACACCTTCTGCTGACCATCACGCTGAACAAGCAGCGATCAGGTGATCGTATCAGATAGCATGGTCGTACCTCCCCTCCATTCTGGTATGACCACGCCAGCGCACCATGTTGTCTCTGTAGCTAACCAGTGAGCCGCTTGCCACCTGTTTCTCGGTTGGCCGCACCGAAGCAACATAGAGCGAATTCCTTGATTAAAACAAATTTTGTCTCAGGATTCGGACGCACACCTGCGGAACTCGGTAACCACATATTTTCCAATGTGCCGCTGCAGCACTCACTTCACTAAAAGAGCTGATTTGTTTGCTGGTGCTCTCTTCAGCACAACGGTAGTGTTACAGTATTATTTTATCTCTACTTCACCTATGCTCAGAT